TTGTTCATTTGTGCGCTGCTTTGGCTTCATCTACTACTGCTGCTGCTGCTGCTGCTGTTTCTTCCTCTTCTGCAACTACTTCTGCTTCACATTCACAATTTAATTCAATTCAATTTGGCCACAAAAATAATTACGACCTGTCCATGGCGACGCGCAGCGTGTGAGCCATCGCGACGCGGTTAACTGCTTGTATAGCGCCATCCCGCGGCGTTGACATGTACTAAGCACACACACACACAGCCTTTTGTCTGTGGTGTTCTTGTTGTGGGGGCGTTCTCATTGAAAACAAATCACAATAAAACAGAAACCTTTAACAATCGAATAATTCAAGACGAAAAAGAGAATTTATCAAAAGGCCATCAAAATCCAATTGAGGCTCCAGACAAACAACAGCGACAACAACAACAATAAGAACCAAGGGGCCGGCATGGATCGTGTATGGGCATTCATGGATCATCGTGGCAATCCGTCAGTCCGGTCGCATTGTGCGACTGTCGATTCTTGTCAAATGCATGACATAAAAATCTTTGTCGAATCGTTAAAAATGCATCATCATCAATTTTTGATGCATATTTAATGTACGTGGACGAGTCAAAGCTGTTGGCTGCCCCAAAGTGTGGCGCATGTGACCGGTGTCGGCGCTCCACATTAACTGCAAAGTGCGACATAAAAATTGATTTAGTCGGCGAGTCGGACGAGTCGGCAAATGCCAAAGCAGAGCAGCAAATAGACATCTATATCATTTTTGGGATGCGGACATTATGGCTCAATTAGGGGCGTTCAATTGCCACACGAGTTCGGCGGGCAGCAGAAGGCTGAGGAATGGGCAAGACATTAGGCGGCATTCAGGTTTTTGATAAGGTGCAGAAGCACAGGATATCCTGGACACGGCTTGTGTCGGCACACGCCCAAAGCCAACGGCACAGGCGGCACCTAGTTTCCAGCTGATTAGCGTCCTGGTTAGCCGCAGGCAATGTGCAACGTGCAACGTGCTACGCGCAACAAGTGCGTGCGAAATTTCACGTGTCAACATGAAAATCCGACCGCAGATAAGCCATCGTCCGCCTTTCCCGGAAAAGTCCTTGTCGGCTGCTTTTGAATTTCTTGCAGCTGAGCAGTTGCAACTTCTTGTTACAATTTTCAGATAACCGGCAATTGATGTTAACTATTTGATATTTGCCCAAGCGTGGTGCCCTGCCTGGTGCTGTGCCGGAGAGAGGCGGAGAGGTGCATTTGGAATTTCCGGCTCATGCCCAATAAAAGCCAAGTCAGGCTAACTTTCATAAATTAGTCATTGAACTCAGCCAGCTGGCGAAATAGCAACAATAAACTAAATGCGAGCAACACTATAAACAACAACAACAACAACAACAGCAGCAGACATTACTAATTTTTTTTGTTATAGTGTGAACCTCGCACCAAAGCTTAAAACAATATACGCATAGGGTACTGGGAGATCTACATAATCATAATAGTCTCGAATTTACGCTTTAATAACTTTGCCATAGGCGCTACACGCTTTTCTCTGGGGCATATTGCAACACATTTCCAGCGAAGTGTTACATATCAAATTATTTGATTTCCATATATCATTTAAAATGAAAATTTATATTTAAATGAAAGTAATTTAAAATATATTTATCTATTGTTTTGAATATCTGGCCAAACACTTTTTCTAATATATAAAATAATTGAATACAAATTAAATTTCCTATTCATAATTTGTGGTTTCATATTTCAAAAGTTTCAAAATTTTGCAACCTATCTGCGACATTATATAAATACGTTAAAATAAAATATATTTCAAAAATATTCTCGATATATTTCCAAAGATATTCTATTAATTATCTGTCACATATTTTATGACAAATTTTTGTATTTCATATTATTTTATATCATATTTTGTAATTGTCAAATGAGTCCCATATTTAAGCAATTTTTTTCCGGCATAAATTAAACAAATAATTTCGTATTTAATTAGTTGTTTTCTTATTTAATAATTTGATACGCTTTAAAAGTATTTTTCATACTTTCAGATCCCTAATTATTTAGCTCTTAAGCGGCTTCAACTTTTGGTTGGACTCCAAGCACAAAACGCATGTCTGCTGATCTACAAAAGAGGTTTAATTTATGCAAAAATATATATATAAAAAAAAGAAAAATAGTAATAATCAAAAACAGAAATTAAACGAATAAAAAACCTAATATGAATAAGCAAGTTCGCATTATAAATGCTTCAAATGAAATTTGGGTTATGGGTCGCGGGTGGAAACGGGCCTGAACCAAGAGCCATTTCCCCATGTGTTTCCCATGAGCTACGCTAATTAGCCAAATACAAAAAAAAAGCCAAAAAGCATTCGAATAACTTGCATACACCTAAAATTTAACAATGAGCATAACATTTGAAATTTGAAATTTTTATGCTTATTTTTATACGCGTAGATATATATTTTTGTTAATTCATATTAGGGGCATTCGTCCAGAAAACGAAATTCCAAAATGGCGCACCGTCTGGTGCCCAAAAGCAGGTGGAATGCGGCACCCGGGCTGGAGACTTGCGAGCCGCACCATCGCCACCTAGATAAGACCCAAAAACCCAAGACTTGTGCGCACCTAATGCGTGGCCGGGACACACTAACCAGAGCAAGAGGGAGCGGGTGTAAAGCCCTACGCGCTTGGCTGGCTGACTGACTGAACGTCTGACTGAGTCAGCTTATCCGACATCGAGGCAACTGTACGACGACTTCGTTTGGCATATTTAAATTCGAAGCCAAACTCACTTCAGCCCAAGTAAGCCGAACTCTGCGCCGGGCTGTGCTGTGATCCATGACCATGATGCGGTGGCGGCGCTGGTGGCGGTGTCTCTGGCGTTGCTGGCGCCATTTTTGATAGTCGCGTTTATGATTTGCCAAAACTTTCTAAAGAGCGCCGCAGCAGAAAGCCAAAAGTCAAAGATCGAGTTCAAGAGCTGCCAGCAAAATGGAAAATTCGCAAAGTCATTTGCATGCGCAGGCGCTGCCAGTTCAGAAAAAAGCCAGAAAACAGTGTGACCAGCAGCGTGGCAACTGCGTGTTACCAGCTCAGCCTAAAACAAGTTAGAGGAATGCTAAAAGTAAATTGAATTGCATTTTAATTGTACTTAGCGATATGTCTATAAAATTATTATAAAACAAGCAATATTAATGCTAGAAAAAACTTTTTAAATATAATTTTATATATTTTATAAATATATATATATATATATATATATATATATATATATATATTTAATTTAATATTATATATATTTAAAAAAAATGTCATAAATTTATTTTTTCATGCGTACCTTTCCATTGTTAAGACATAACAGCTCGTTTTCTCGGGTTATACAAAGAAGAGTTCTTTTTTTTAGGGAAAGTTTTCACTTAGTTTTTAGAAATTTTATTTTGTAAAAAAGAGGAGGACATATACCAGATAGACAATACTAAGCCCTGATATATGAGTAAACTGTTATTACAACTATTTATATTGAAAAAAGGATAAAATACTAAAATTTATTGAAATTAAGCAACTAAATTATTGCAGAGCTCTACATATATACCATTTATATATATATATATATATATATATATATGTTATTATAGCATCCTTATTTCCTATTAAAAAAAAAAAACAAACCTCTGAAAGAATTTCCTTTCGTTGAAGGAAATTTTTGTTGTCTGAGAAGACAAATTTAGGACATAAAAATATCAAACCTCTGATATATTAACTTTAAATTGTATAAAAATGTAAAAAAGTGATTATTTTATCAAATTTAATGAACAACCTAGAAATTAACTGAAATGAATTAAACTGAATTGTTGCAGACCTGCTGCTTGTTTAGGATATATATGTATATATATATATTTGTTAATCTATATCGATTCGAGCTAGTTGCAGTCACTTGGTACTTGGCAGCACTGGCTGGCAGCACTGGCTGCTCTTAAGTATAGTCAAGACGCGCTCACAACAGATTTAATTTGTCTAAAAATACGAATATGATCGCATATAAATTATAATTGAAAATATCCATATATGTGTACTTGTGCATGCAATCTCGGCGAGAACAACAAAAACAAAAACAACAACAACTGATAAATGAAATTCCGTCAGAGATACAGAGAGAATGTTCTCCTCTAGTCACTCGGTCTGCCGATCTCCCGATCTCCCGATCTGCCGGTCTCTTGGTCCGACGATCTGGTGTCTTGGGCTGGATCCGTTGCCGCCTGGCGCACTGCTGATGACTTGATTTGAAATTTGAAATGATATTTTAAGAAACTAATGCAGCCATAGCTCGACGACAGACGACGCTGCCATGTGCCCCCTCTGGCGTCCTACGCCTCCTTCAGACCGTGCAGCTCCCTCGTAGGCATGTTAAATGTCATTTAATAGTTGACAGTTGCACTTGCTGCTTGTTGCTGTTGCTCTTGTGGTTGTTGTGATTATTGCAGTTCATTTTTTGTATATTTTTTTTTTTGTTGCTCGTACAAAAATTTATGTGTAGGTGGTTTTAAATTTATGTCGTCGTTGTCGCCGACACCGAAACAACTCGCGAAAAATTCTTTTGAATCTGTTTCGTTTTTCTTTAATAAAACTAAATTTTATTGCTTACACAGAATAAAAAATAAAACAAAAAAAATAAAAAAAAGCACACGGCGCTCTATCATGATAATAATGATCATGATGATCGTGATAATGATGAGAATGCAGCAGAGCTTGTTATTGTGCTGATCTTATGCCTTATTGATGACATCCTGTTACAAGTAAAGTCCAGCTCGAGGCTACTCACAGATTGGTCTAGAATTGAATATGCGCTGATTGGCAAAGCCGACTGGAAATAAATAAATGCAATTTCAACTATTCGAGGCCTTTCTCGGAAACCTGCAGCTATAGAAGAAGTATTACGAGCCGCATTCCAATTTCGGACTCTATTCCCACTTGGCAAAGAAAACAATCTCAATTCTAATTTCCATATAACTCACATATTTTCCAAATAAGAAATCAATATAATATATAACATTTGAACAGACGAGTCCATGAATGATGATCGCCGGGAATTGGTATGTGTTACAAGTCGCCAGCCCGTCAAATTCGCCAACTTACACCTGTGAAATGCGATTGGGTTAATATATAGATTGCCTCCAGTATGGATCAATATATAATACCCCGGGCGGGCATAACCCCTAGTTGGCCTTGATCTTGGTGTTTAGCATTTCCTGCTTCAATTCCAGATAGCTTTCCAAAACGACATCGTTTTTGCGCTTCTCGGTGGCCAGCTCCCAGGACAGCCGGACCAGCTCGCTGGCCAGCTGCTCGGGATTGTTTGTCAGCTGCAGTACCTCCTCCATGCTGGAGCAGTTGCGGAGTGACTGGCGCATGTTATTGGCTGGCATTGGTTGCTTGAAGGGCAACTTCGGCTCGAGGGCATAGTTCGTCGGCTTGATGATCAGCTGCTTCAGCATCTGTACATATTCCTTGTGGCGCAGCTTCCGTTGATCCAACTCGTTTATCCTAGAGCGCACATTCTCCAGTTCGACCATGCGCTGCACTGGTTCCGGCGACTCCAGCTTGGTGTCACACTCCATGGCCTGGGCCAGCTGTGCTGATGCCGAGCTCTTTGGCTTTCTGGACGGTGCCTCATCGTCGCGTTCACTGTACCGACGCACGGGGACACGTGTCGCCACCTTGTAAGTAAGACGCATTGGTTGCACCCAGGACTGCAGAAATTTAATGGCCGATATCATCTTGAAACCAAGTGAAATTTTGTAGCTCAACTCAAGACGATCAATGTATAAAAACAATGCACATCAAATTTCGAAAGAAAACACAAAAAAAAAACAAAAACACGAACAAAAAAAACTAATAAATATTTTATACACGTTGAAATGAGGAGTTACGATTCATACTAAGTGTAGCCGACGAACTGAAAATATGTCTGGGTCTACTCAAAAGGAAAACTTTTCGAATTCCATGGCCTGCTAAAATCGAAATCCAAGGCCTGCTGCATTGAACAAAAAGTTCAATTTTCAGATAGTATTTGGTGAATCGCATGGCCTACTATATAAAGTATTTCTATATGCTGATTGATTGATTAACTGAATGATGTAGATGTAAAGACATTAGGTTTCAGGCCCAGGCGTGAAACATGGGTGGAACACAAAAAAATCCGTATTTTTCATGCAATAATCTAGATGTATAAAGTAAATTCATTAGAAGGAAAAAGGGCTACAAAATATCATAAGAAATGTTTTTGAAAGTTTTCTGACTAGAAAATAGGTGTAAAAATAGGGATAAACGGATAGGATTATAAGGTCAAAAGTATCTTTTTTCACCCGATTGGCTATAAACTCTTTCCATAGGGCACAGTTTAAGGTCTTGGAAAAAGTATGAAAACAATTAGCCAAGGCAGACCCATTAAATTTCCGCTTGTTCTACATATTGCATATGCTTGTTTTGCTCTCTATATAATCCAATTAACGAGATTCCGAAATGTATTATTGATCATTTAGTGGAGTTTCAGCCATATGGGTCAGTGCGGAATTGTTCGTGCCTGCTGGCACGCCATATGAACATTATTCCACCATGCCCCATTCCCCACTGCCCACCCCCTGCGAGCGGCAGCGATCCTGCACATTATTCATCATACAACAGCTGGGCGGAGAGCTGCAGAGGGGGAAGTTTGTGCCCGAACAACTTCATCAGCATGCACCACATTTTTGCTATTTTCACATATTCGATGAAAAATTATTTATATGTTTGGTGTTTTTTTTTTTCTATGTTTTTCTGTTGTTTTGCTTTGCATATGTGGAATGGGCAGTCCCATCGGCTGGTTGGGCTGCCAATTCGTTTTAGCAGTTAGAAGTCGTCGTCGCTGGCTCGTCGTCATTTTGATTGATTTGAATGTTACGTTGAGTGCGCGACGCTGGCAGCGCTGCTCGGAATGTGACTGATGATTGATGGTCTTAAGACCAAGTCACAGTTGCTCCCTCAACCCTCGGCGCCCTGCCCTGTTCAATGTACCCTGTTCCGGTGGGCAGCCAGCGTGACCCTCGAACTCTCTTTCGCCAAGGTGCTAACACAAAAAAAATATTAAAAAAACGCAGCCAAAAAGAAAAAAATTCTGAAAAGAACTGATACGTGAATGTTATGCAAGCGAGGCGAATAAAAATGTGTTCTATTCTTATTAGGACCGACTAATTCAGCTAAGAGCCGAATAAGAAACAAAAAAAAAGTAATTTCCAGGGCCTGACAGGCGTACGTCAAATCCGGCGACATGCAAATTTTAATAGTAACAACAGAAATTGAGCGAGGAGAGGTGAAAGCTACCCCAGTAGAAAAAAATGCAGACATGTGTGTCTTGCGGCAGGAATACAAAAAGTGGCCATGGAGGACGACGACGGCATTGATACGTGGTACGTAAATCGCAGCAAAAGTCAAATGAAAACACGTGAGTGGAGCAATCGTCGCTGGATGACTATGACAGGTGAACACAGATGGGAAGAATTGGAGACCCAAGAAAAGGTCTGTGTGGCCAATGGTATTTTAATTCAAATTATGTGCAGCCCACGCAGCGGTAAGTGGCAGGTGAATGTTGCAAGTTTCGTTATTATTTTCAGCTACTTGAGCTGGAACCCTTTCAGCTTTTGACAGATGAACATCAACGCAAGCACAGGACAGCCGGAGCTGGAGCTGGAGCCGGAGCCGGAGCTGGAGCCGAGCCGAGCCCACAGTCACAGCTACCAAGTTGACCCACTGAACTTTCTCGCGCTCTCTCAGCCTCGGTTAGTGCCTCGGCCCTAGTCAGAGTCAAAGTCTGCTACTATTTTTTTTTTTTTTGAAGCATTTTCGTGTGTGGGAGCGCAAGTCTTGCACTCACACAAATGCCGGATGTGGTTGCGTAGAAAGGTGGCTCCAAGCTACCTTTGGCATGGCCACAGAAGCCTTACGTCCCTCCACCTCGCCGCTTGCCCCATTGCTGTTCAAACGTGCAACTTTCTGTTTGTTTAAGACCGCCGCCGCAGCGGCGACAGCACTAAAATAATAACAATAATGGTATAAAATACTAAGTAAAAAATGCCCACTTCCGAATGCCCAATGTGGTAGACGCAGCCGAAGCCAACATGGACAACTGGGTTTTGGGTATCCAAACTTAGCCCATCATAACAACATTTGTGTCACAATTAAAAAGGCGTGAGCTCTGCATCGATATGGCTTGGTATGCCGAGCTTGACATGGACTCCGAGCAGAATATTATACTCTTGAGATGGTGCAATGAATACGCTTTTTATTTGTGATACTCTTTCAGAGCATGTGAAGGTCTCGTGATGTAAGCTGTAACACGTATATCGTATATGTATATATATATCGTCAGGCAGTATATATGTGAAAGTACGGAACTATCGGCTGAGAAACTCTTATTTTAATCGAAATATCTTAGCCAAAACTATTTAATTATTATCTACAATATGTCATATAATATTATTTTCTTATATTTATTTATTATATTATTTTATTTATTATATTATTTATTATTTTATACATCAGATATTATATTATATGCATATACATTATATATTTGCCTTGTACCTATGAGAGCATTTTATCTTCGTCACATTTCTCTTGTTTCTTCTTCGTCTTCATGGCATTGCTTTCTTATTTGACTCAACTTATTTAATTTTATTTATTTATTTGCTGCTGCTGTTATAATTTTCATGTGTTTAACTTATTTTCTCGCCACTTTGACCGCGTCTTGCCGTTTGTTTGTCTAGCATTGTTTTCTTTTCAGTTTTTCAGTCCGTTTAATGTCAACTTCCGGAGCGCTTCTTCTTTCTTTCTGTAGCCTACGGATCTGTGATTTGTTCAATATATGCTATGGCAGGGGATTTGAAGAAAAGGGCACGATAGAAAGATTCAATATGCGTGGCATATAATTACTTTTTAGCATTTTTTTTTTTTTGTTTTCTTTTTTTAAGTTGCAGTTTGTTTCTGGGAACCGAAGCTCGTTTTTGTATTGTTCGAGTAATTCGTATGTTGCTTAACTGACAATTTTAGAGGAACCAGCAGCGAAAAACACTTAAAGAAAACAAAGCTAAAAAGCCAGCACGCAATGCAGCCGGCTTCAAGTTGCAACGACTTTTTCCTCTGCCCCCCTACCATAATCCAACCAGACATCGCAGAAAATAACATGAATTAATACTTGTAGATTTCGAGGTAGATATATAAAAAAGGTTGGTCCTGACTGATAGTTCGATGACCATGAGCTACGAGGCTGAAATGTTTGTTAAAGCTTCCCTTTGGATCAAAAATAGGAGCTTAAACATCTAACCTCCAGGTGGAAGAACAATGCAGACAAAGCTTCGAACTAACCAGCAGCAAGTTGCCAGTTCAAACTCGACATTTATTGTTAATTTATATAATTTTTTATTTCATTTGTTATAAAGCACATAGAACAAGCAACGTTAAACAATTACTTTAACTAAATGATTCAATAATAAATGAGATTTTTGTTGTTGGTTTGTTTGTTTTTTCAAACAGAGTGCTGTCATAGGTATTCTTCAGCAGTCTCCAAAGTGTCTCTTAAGTAGCACGGTGCTTCCAGCAAAAACACAACTAGCATTAAGTTTTGGGCTTAAGAGCCCGAGTAGAGGAAAGTCAACATATTTTTAAACAATTTTGGTAAGAACGCATGGAAAACAATTGCGATACTACATGCAATTGCAACATTATTCATTTGACCCCAGCGACGCCGGGTAATTTCTTTTAATATATCTTCACAACCGAAGCTTCGGCCAGCAGATGGCAATGCCGCACAGTCTATAGAAGGATTCAATATAGAAATTAATGCAGGCCCCACAGATATGCAAAGGAAAAATCAAATAAGAAAGGAAAAACGCCAAATGAATTACGATAAGCTGCAGTCAGCAACAGTAATAAACAACAACAACAACAACGACAGCAAAGGCGGACCACAATGGCGTCAGTTGGTTAGGACCAAGGGGCAAGTGGTGGCAGCAGCAGCAGCAGCAGCAGCAAAAGTCCCAAAGAAAGCCAGCGAAAGGGGCGGAAAATTGCACCAAAATTAATAAAGAAAAAAATGCGAAGACGTGAGCAAGAAAATCTAAGACAATATTGAACACAGATTAGGGCGACTTCGTAGAGCCCTACAATCAGGAAGTAAGATCCATAAGTGGAAAAAATTTATTAGACTTAATAAGTTATATAAGTTTACAGAGTAAAAGATCTTTAAGGACCAAATCCCCAAATAACCTTAGCCAATGAGAAAACTTTGTTTAAAGCGTGTGTCCGTATAAAATTTGGCTTAATTTTGAAAAAAATCGTCGAAGAATAATTACTTTCGGGGCTTATAAGTTAAGATTCTTGGTATTGCGACAAAGTAAATATGATTCTTCAGAATCTGCTTAAAATATATACATTTTGAATCTAGAAGTCGATCAAATCCTTTCAATATTTTCCCAGACCCTTGGCTTGGCTGTAGAAAAGTTCCACAGTTTTGAAAATCTGATGATGATTCCTATTATTAATATTTCCAAATTGTAGAACAGAGACGTAAATCTCCATGAGCTCACAGAGATTCTTTCATGCGAACGCATATGCCGTGCGTTTAATATTGTAGCGCCGCAGCCAATGGGTAAACGTACAAAATTATTGAAAGTTTATGAAAATAAAAACACGAGGCAGCAACAATAAAAGGAATTACAGTAAATGGTTGCCGGTGTTTGGCTGCGGCCGCAGTTTTTAACAACAGCAACAGTCGCAAAGCAGAGGTGGGCCCGGGGGGAGAAAGGGTGTATCGGACGGCGGCGTCAACATTGTTGGGCGGCATGTGGCAGCCTTTGATTTTCGTTACGTCTTGCAGAAAAGAAAAAAAGGATACAAAAATTTTATTG